AGCCAAGCTGCTGCTGCCGCTGCTTCCATTGCTGGTTGCGATGAGGATCATTCAAAGCAGTCGGCGGCAGCTGCTGTCCACAAACCGGTCAGGTCACCGGCCCGAACAATGCACACAGACAGACACGGAAAGATGGCTGATGGCTGCTGGGAGATAATGGTGGTCGTGGTGGGCTTTCCTTTATTTCCACCCTGAAGGATCATCAGGATTGAATCCGGAGTGTGGTATGGTGTGCTCCAAAAGATGGCATTTGATTGCAGTTTCAAACGCTGCTGGCCAATGACCGGTGTGGCAATTTGGCGACAGACGATTTTGTACTGACAAAAAAATAAAAACATTTCTGCTGTCAAAACGATGACAGATTTGTAGTAAACTCAATGGCTACCATGACTGAAACATGACTGTACGCTGCTGTGCTGTACGCTAGCACACTCATTCCACCAGATTAGTCACCGCAAATGTTTTTAGCGTGTCTAAGTGACTAATCTGGTCAAATTGGCTGTCACCGTGTTACCAACGCCCAACACCAGCACCTGACACTTGACCCGACACGATGACAGGTGCGCGCCTTGGCTGTACCCGAGCAGCGCAGCTGCAGTCTTGGCCTACCACGAGGTGGCGCCCCACCGGCGGCGTCCGTCTTCTGCGAGCGTCCCGTCAGACGAGCACTAGAAAAGAAGAAGTGTGTGCGGCTCTGCAGCCTGCCTTCAGCATTCTCCGCCACCTTCATCCATTCGCCCTCTACTCGAGCCACATCTCGCCTCGCCGCCGAATCCTGCACGCCGTGCCGACTCCTCTTCTCGATCTAACCAAGTAGGTAGCCTCCTCCTTCTACCCTGCTCCAGGGCCCTAGCCGCCTGCAGCAAGTGCCCAGATACCTGGGGACCGCTCTGCTCGGCTCAGACATCGAGTTGCCGTGTTGACTGAGCACGCCGCACTGCTCTCTCTTTACATGTCATTGGGCAGCTCGGTACAAGTCNCCGGGGACCGCTCTGCTCTGCTCAGACATCGAGTTGCCGTGTTGACTGAGCACGCCGCACTGCTCTCTCTTTACATGTCATTGGGCAGCTCGGTACAAGTTTACAGCCGCAAACCGTACTAACCGGTCTTTCTTTTCTCTGTCCTCTCTAGCACCACCACCACCCCCAACCAGTAAAATGGCTTACCTCCAGTCGACCCGCGTCTGCAACCCCGTCTTCCGTGCCATGGTAAGTAGAAGTGAACTGATGGGGTGCCCTCTTTGTCCTCTACCTTGCCGGCGCTAACAGTGTCTCTTTTTTCCCTGTGTTCCCCAACAGCTCCTTGGCCGAGCATCGGCTCGCCCCCTGACCAGCGTCAGCATTGCCGCTCCAACTGCCTCCACTGACAAGGTCGCCACCCTCCAGCAATCGCGCGGTCTGCACACCTCCCTGGTCCGACGAGATATCGACTCGGCTGCCAAGTTCATCGGTGCCGGCGCTGCTACCATCGGCGTGGCTGGCTCTGGAGCCGGTATTGGATCTGTCTTCGGCGGCCTGGTCGTCGGCTATGCCCGCAACCCCTCGCTCAAGCAGCAGCTTTTCTCCTACGCCATTCTCGGCTTTGCCCTCTCCGAAGCCATGGGTCTCTTCTGTCTTATGATGGCTTTCCTCCTTCTCTTCGCCTTCTAAATGTTTGCAGCGGTGATCACAGCCCAATCACGCAGTAATCCCTGGCAAACCGTGTAACCTCCACCAATACACACATACACAATACAACAGCAAGAGCCCAGCGCAACATCAGCCAATAACAGAGAAAAGTGTTAGCAAACATTTATTTTAGTGAATGACTTTTTAAAATGTGAATAAAAATTTGTTTATTGTATTAAATCCAAGAGTTAGTAGCGAAGAATAAAAAAGAAAAAGTCATCTCTCTCTCTCTCTCTCCCTCTCTACTTGTGCTGTCTTTCTCCTGACCTTTGCTCTCGCCGGTTCTCCCACTGAACAACATGGAACCACGACGGCGGTGGCGTCAGTTCTTGGCAAACGACCAGCCATCCAAACCGAAAGTAGCGAAGGGAAAGTACTTGGAGGCGAGCGAGGAGTGAGAACCTGACCTACACCGCTACTGAAAGCAGCCACAATCACTGACTGCCTTGCCAAAGTCAGGCAGGCAGACAGGCGCCTCAATCTCGCCATCTGGGGAGCCATCAGTGGCCGACAGTGGCCACTTTTAGACGCCGAACATTATTACTGCCAGCAATGGGAATAGTGATTTGCTGTAAATGACCTAACAATGTCAGACAGGTCATTAGGTGCTGGCGGAGGATGTAAAGAGCATTGAGCGGACACTGACCAGCGTCGACACTTAATTACCTCACTCATTCATGGTCGCCCAATTTTGGTGGACTCTTGTTGTTGTTCAACTTTGCTGCTCTTGTTACGCAATGATCACCACCACCACCACCAACTATCTGTGATCGGCAGTGTTCNCTGCCTTGCCAAAGTCAGGCAGGCAGACAGGCGCCTCAATCTCGCCATCTGGGGAGCCATCAGTGGCCGACAGTGGCCACTTTTAGACGCCGAACATTATTACTGCCAGCAATGGGAATAGTGATTTGCTGTAAATGACCTAACAATGTCAGACAGGTCATTAGGTGCTGGCGGAGGATGTAAAGAGCATTGAGCGGACACTGACCAGCGCCGACTTAATTACCTCACTCATTCATGGTCGCCCAATTTCGGTGGACTCTTGTTGTTGTTCAACTTTGCTGCTCTTGTTACGCAATGATCACCACCACCACCACCAACTATCTGTGATCGGCAGTGTTCCACCGCAGGACGCCGTGCCTCCTCGGCCGACTGGGCACACCATTCAGAGGACGGCTTTGTCGAGTTGTTCAAGTTTTCTTGTTGTTCAAGCTAACGATTCCCGAGCCTTCTCACAGCGACAGAAGTTGTCAGCACCACCACTCAAGGACATCCTCGGTGACCTTTCCTGCTGCTGTTAAGTGCAGCTGCACTCTTGACAAGAACTCAACTCGATCAGCACTCTCATTTTTTACTCGACAACCGATTCGCTTGTTTATTGTGCTTTGCTGGAGTTTTTTTACACACACTCACGCCTACTATCATACTGTTGATGGACGCCCCGTTTAGGCGTTGGGATTCACCGCAGAGATGACGCCTCTGAAGAAGGTGTCGTACTTTTGGACGACCGTTGCGCGGAAGATGACTGATCCATTGCCGGTTTTAGGGGCATTCCATACCAATGTAGCCGACTTTTTGTTCCTGTTCAGACGATTGAATCAATTAGCAACAGGTGTATATTGAGTTGTAAGGCTGTAACTATACTGACCTGTTGTCAGAGTGGGTCACTGAGGAGCAGCTGTCGATGTTCTTCAGGCCTCGTCCTTCGGCGAAGCTTCCGATGGCTGTGTGTTTTCAGGGTGAAAAAATATTGGTAAGGTTTGTTTGTGTAATTAGAAGCACTTTTTTAAGAACTCACTTTTGCCCGACTCGGGGTCGACTGCCTGCACGATGAGGCCTTTGAAGGAGACGTTCGTCGGTGATCGCAGCACCACTGAACAAAAAGTGTTAAGGTGTCGAAGAGCTGGCTCATCTAACTCATCTCTCTTACCTTTCACCTGATCTCCCGCCTGGTAGCTGGACGTGGACTGCTGCAGGGTGTACGGGCCCTCTTGGGCCTCCTTGGCCGGTGTGCCACCGTGGCGAGGCAGCAGAGTGGAGCAGGTTTTCTCTACACGGTTAGAGTGGCACAAGTAAAAAGAACAACAAATGGGTGATTAGTGATTGATTGATTGAGGAAGTGATGAAAGTGATGTGTTGCAATCAGTGACACAGGATGCAGAAGTGGTCAACGGGGATAAATCAATCCACATGCGTACCTGGTGCACCACTGGGCCAGGAGAAGGTGTCATCGACGAGGAGGAGAAGTGCCAGTGAGAGGGAGAACAGCAGAGAACAACAACAAGTCTTGGACAACATTTTGGTGGTGGTGCGGCGGTGGCGAGGCTATCGTCTCGGCGGTCAGCTCTCGAGTAGAAGCGATTTGCATCAAGTATGCACTATTTACAGCACTGCGCCCTGATCGGCGGAAATAATTTGTAGCGCTAGACAGTGATCGGAGATTGTGGTGGTGGTGGCGGCGAGGGAACAAACGAGGTTTGAGAAAGAAAGAAAGAAAAACGGAGAGAGTGAAGAAAGAAAGAAAGAAAGTGAAGCTGGAGCGAAAGGGAAAGTTGCAAAGGTTGTGCCAGCAAGATCGTGTCGCCGAACACACACTGGCTGGCCACAAGTTGCGCCCGCCAACGAACGAGTTTTTTGGGCGCACCGAGTGAGTGTGTCTGTGTTCGAGAGTTGTTTGCCTGTAGCACTATTTTTCCAGTGGTATTCTTGGGCAACTCAGCCAACTTGTAGGCTGCTGCAAGCAGATCACTACAGGACTTGGGAACATGATACTCTGCAACAGATCGTGGAGTGATAGGCGAACAACAGCAACTGCTTACGGTTGCTGCTTGCATCACTTTCTTTGTTCGATGACGGCCAAGTTTAGAGCGCTCAGTCTGTTCCAAAGTCACAAAAGTGACATAATGTGTGGGGCTATGATGGTGCTGCAAGGTAGCTCGTCAGTGGACACTGCTGGCCACTGTGGCGTGAGACTCACTCAGTGACCATCGATTAGAGCTTCATTTTCAGCCGTGTTCAAGTTGCTTCAGATCACACACAGTCGAGCTGATTGTGTTGCGTCAATCAACTAATTGATTGATGTTATCCTTGGTCATCATCGACGGCGGTAATGACCACTGGCCACTTTCGAATTCAATTTTCGACCATCAGCACACTGGAACGTCTTCTCTGCACGGCTGACTGCCTGCCACTGGCGAACTTTTGTTTACATCGCGCACTTGCCGGTTGGCGCACTTCACATTCTGCACCGAATTTTATTTTATCTTCATCATCTGTTTTACAGAAACTTCTGTTGATTTTATCCTTTATTTTAACCTTCCTGGCGTGGGAATCATGACGCCCGAATCGCTAGCCATTAGCAATGCAGTGAACGGCATCATCTTCAGCTTGCGCAAGATTCGCGACAACCTCATCTTTCAGCTGCAGTTCAAGTCGGCCGTCTTTCTCTCCGACAAGATTCTCGCCCTTAAACCCTCCACGGAAGACTACGCCGTCCTCGCCAAGTGTCTCTATCGTCTGAAGGAGTATCAGCGAGCCGCTTACATAATCACCTGTCGCAATTTGCACCACACTGACATTTCCTGCTGTCTACTGGTCATTAAGTGTTATGTAAGAGTCTGCCACACTGAACAATCTGCTACTATAGTTTCACTTCTTTTGATCTAATGTTTTTGTCGTCGCTTTCTGTCTCTCTTTTTTCAGTTCAAGTGCAAAAACTACTTCGAAGCGTCAGAGTTGGCAAAAAATGTTCTCTCAAAGTACGACAAGTTTGATGCAAAGTCAGAAAAGGTAACGACTCGTGTTCAACTTCTGCAACAGCAGCAGCAGCTAATGCTTCTATTTTTAGTGGAAGGTGCCTCTGTTTGTCATACAGGGGCTGCTGTACCAAGCACTGGACAATCAGCAGTCGGCCAAGACATCACTGTACAATGCCCTGGAAGTGAACTTCTACTGTCATGAGGCCTTCTACATTCTCACGCAGCAGCATATGCTCACCAAAACAGAAGGTAATGACCGCGTTCAGTGACTCAGCAAACGTTGAGGACGCAAAACATTAATAATTGAGCACATTTACATTACAGAGATTCAACTGCTGAACACTATCATCAAGAACAACAAAGAGTCGAGCCCTTTTCTGTGCTCCTTTATGCGATTCTTCTACTACATTCAGCTCAAAAAGGTGTGACTGCTGTGTTACATTGTGAAAATTGCTTCCAAAACTCTAATTACCATTTCCTCTACTACAGTACGACAAACCTGACGAGCTCGAAGTGTACAGCCCATTTGATCTCTACTCTAATCACTCTGAATTTCTCGTGGCATTGGCTGAACGGCACTACTACAATTGCAAGTACTCTGAAGCACTTGAAATCACCACCAAGTGAGTAACTTGGCTGACCGCAACGACAACTTTTTGTATTACAACTCTTAATCGTTTTTTGTTTTCTCTACCTCAGTCTACTCAAACAAGATCAGTACAACAACGAGGGTTTACTAGTTCACGCCTCGACCTTGATGGAGTTTAAGAATACAAATGGTATGCTTGTTTTCTGTCAGTAACAATTTCAGCTGTAACATTTTATTTTCGTTTGCACTTTTAGATCTATTTGAGCTGGCGCAAAAGCTAATCGACCTCTACCCGGAACGGGAGATCTCCTGGTACGTGCTCGGCTGCTACTACCACCTCATTGAAAAGGTCGACCTGGCGCGGCGGTTTCTGCTGAAGTCCACCACACTGAACTGCTTCTTTGCACCGGCGTGGCTCCTCTACGGGCACTCCTTCTCGCAGGAGTCAGAGCACGACCAGGCCATCTCGGCCTTCTTCAAGGCGGCGCACTTTATGCCCGGCTGTCACCTGCCGCTGCTCTACATCGGCGTGGAGTACATTCTCACCGACAACTGCCGCCTGGGGGAGAAGTTCATCATGAAGGCGCTGACCATTGCGCCCAAGGATCCGCTCACACTGCACGAGCTAGGAATTATTGCCTTCAACACTAATGAGTACGAAGTTTTGGGTGCTTTTATACCTGTGATTTATTGTTTGTTTATTTTTTCTAGGGTCATCAGGGCGGAGCGGCACTTCAAAGCGGCGCTGTCCATTCTCAAGTACAATCAAAATCCAACGGCGTTGCCGAACCGCTACGACACACTGTTGAACAATATGGGCCACGTGAAGCGGAAGATTAACCGGCCCCTTGAGGCGATTGAGTTCCACAAGAATGCGCTCATCATGTCGCCGCAGAGCGCCCCCTCCTACACCGCCATTGGCTTCATCTACTGTCAGCTGAGCAAGTGGAAGGAGGCAGTGGACTACCTCGACATGGCCTATGGCCTCAACAAGCTGCAGCGAAATGAAGACCCGCACACGAAGACGCTGCTGGAGAATCATGCCTTGAAGAACTACCAGCGCAACTGTCGGGACTCGCTCGGTTTTGAACTCAACCAATTTGACTGCTCCTACACTAATGCCAAACGCCTAAGCCAGCCACTGCAGGCGATCAACATTCGGAAGATCTTTTCGGAGCCCGCCTCATCCACTGAACTGGCCGACTCCTCTCCTCCTTCCCTCAGTGAGCCTCAGTACCTTGATCCGCCGCTCAAGCTCAGCGAACTGACGGCCAGGTTCAATGAAACACTAGCCCACAAGAGCAGTCTTCGCTTTGTAGCTCGCTGAA